CCCCAAAACCCCAAAACCCCAAAACCCCATTAAATGAATAAAGCATATCTTTTTTGAAAATAAATTATAAGTTTTTGGTCGCTGCAAAAGATAATTTAAATTATTAATTTAAGCATTTAATGAATTTATATCAATTTTTGTGTCAAATGCAGTTTAATCTCTTAACTCTAATTCAATAGTTTCCAGAGTTCATTTAGAGAACAAGAATGAAATAAGTAAGATTCCCTAAGAGTATATTCATCATTAAAGAAGTCTATGGTCTTGACCACAAAAAGGAATAAATCTATTGCCATTACTATCTCTAGTATTATTCCATCACCAAGATTGTTCAAGCTAGGGTACTCATTTATGTTTAGTTTTATGTCTGCTGCTATTGCTGCTGCAATTCTGAATTCTGGCTATGATTTAATGGCCAATAGACTGCAGGTTCTCTGTGTTCATTTCAATTGTTAAGGCCCCTTTATGCCGCGGCTACATTTCTAAGTTACTGCTGCTGCTGTCTTAAGAAATTTTCTCTCATATATATCTGATCCCTTTGGGGTTAACTATCAATTTCTTCATCCCTATCTCTTTGCTCAAACCTTCTGTTTGCTCCGTTTCTGAAATTTCCGAGCTGTGTTTCAAACAGAGTTTTAAAGTGGCAGTAAGCAAAGAAAGAATAGTATATAGCTACTATAAAGTATACAATCTCCACTATGAAGACAGATCGTATTACCTTGCTTGGCCCTTTAGAGTTATCTTCAGAGATTTCTTTCTCATAATTTATCCAGTTTCCTACTGCAATGTTCAGATCTAAGATGCATAAGATCAGAAAGATCATCACATTACAGAAATGCATTGTTTTATAAGCTGTGTAGATTATTAAGATGACAATGGTCTGAAAAAATGCTGTGAGACTTCCATACTGAAAGTACTTAAAATTGCAGATCACTCCTTGTCCATACATAAGGATCTTTAACATTGTTCTTAGTTTGACAGCTTCCTCATCTAGTTAAATGACCATATAGTCCAATGATGGAGACTATAAATCCATTTTGTCAAATTTAAGATATTATCTTATCTCAATTATCATATTTCATTAAATTATTTGAATTCAGGGGTTTTGGGGTTTTGGGGTTTTGGGG